AATCCTCATCGTCTCCAACTCGGGTCTGATCTCGGTCGTCTGCTTTGTGGTCCTGGTGGTCTCCTACGTGGTCATCCTCGTCTCCTTGCGGAACCGCTTCTCTGAGGGACGGCGGAAGGCTCTGTCAACTTGCGCTGCCCACCTGACCGTCGTGACCTTCTTCCTGGGCCACTGCATCTTCATCTACCTCAGGCCAGCCAAGAGCCTGGCAGCAGACAAGATAGTTTCTGTTTTCTTCACGGCCGTCACTCCCCTGCTCAACCCGATCATCTATACCCTCCGCAACGAGGACATGCTGAATGCTCTGAACAAACTGCGAGGGCGACAGGTCACTTCAGGAGGGAAAGATAGTAGGCAATGTTCCCTCTAGGCTGCAGAGTCTTGTGAGGAAAAATTCTACTTTGTGAGCTACTGGCATTAAAGTTGTGAGCCAGTGATTGGGCTGCTACATAAATTAGCTTGCTCTGGAGCCCTCTGTCCTGAGCCGAGACAAAAATGTGTGAGCCGGAGGCTAAAAAACTGCGAGCTAGCTCACACTAACTCAGCTTAGCGGGAACACTGGTAGTAGGTGATGTGAAAGATCTCCGCCTGAGACCCTTGAGAGCCGCTGCCCGTCTAAGCAGACAATACTGACTTTGATGGGTGAAGTGTCTGATTCAGTGTAAGGCGCTAACATGTGAATAAAAGATTGCATTTACAAAAGTGCGAGGCTGTTCTTTTTCAGACATCAACTTCAAAATCCTGGAAAGGAACATGTTTTAACTACAGGGAGGCAGGCAAAGCTGGGTTTACTGCTGGATTCTGGAATACCAACAACCAAAAAACCACTGTGATAAAATTAACAATGACACATTTAATGATTCTGTGAGCATCAATTTGTGAAGCTATTAATCTGACAATATAGTTAGAGAATTCTGACAGAAGCAAAGCAAAGCCCAACATAATCATATCCTCGATGAGCACACCGGTTTTTGCTCTCGTTTCACCAATCTTCCTCATGAGTAGTCTTATAAAGTTGGAAGGCGTCAACCTCTAGGTTCAGCTTAGTTTCTTTTTTAAAAACAATTTTCTTCTTTGTCAAATTATCCTGTAAAAAGCATAGTTATAAGGAGTGGGAAAAGACATGAAGCAGAATGGAATAGTTTCGTTATCATTTTTAACTAGAATAGTTTTAGACTTACTTTCAGTTCCATTGCAAGTACTTGAATAGGAGCAAGCCAATTACTAAATTTCTAGTCGTAGCAGCCAGTCCAAACATTTTATGTGGCTACAGGCCTACTTTAAATTGGCTGGCATTTGCTCTCCGTTTCACATTGTTGGCTAGTAGCTCTCTATTAGGGAGTAGCATTTCAGCATTTCTTATGTATCTGGCAAAAAGCCTTCTTTTAATAATAGACTAGGGTTCCCAAGTACTTACCGCGATCCGACGGGGAAAACATGCTCCCCGGCCGGACCATTCCTCCCTGTAACACAGCATGCCGCTGCCAGGAAGTGACGCTGGGCGACGCTCTGGCAATGGGGCTGAAAACTCAATGGTACCATCGAGTTTCGAGCCCCATTGCCAGAGCGTCACCCAGCGTCACTTCCTGGCGACGGCATGGTGTGGCATGTCTGTTGTCCCCGCAGGAATGATCCAGTGAAGACATTTGTGTCCCCCGACGAATCACGGTAAGTACTTGGGAAGCCTGTAATAGACTGACAATGCTCCCCACTTCTCGTTGCTGGAAACAGCTCTAAAGGAACTATCTGATTGATTCCAAGCAGCTGCATGTTGTTATACCTCTCTTAAAGGTGTAGGACATTCTTCTTTGACAAAGAAGAAAATAAGAAGCTATATTGTTTTTAAAAAAAGAAACTAAGCTGAACCTAGAGGTTGACGCCTTCCAACTTTATAAGACTACTCATGAGAAAGATTGGTGAAATGAGAGCAAACACCAGTGTGCTCATCGAGGATATGATTATGTTGGGCTTTGCTTTGCTTCTGTCAGAATTCTCTAACTATATTGTCAGATTAATAGCTTCGCAAATTGATGCTTGCAGAATCATTAAATGTGTCATTGTTAATTTTATCACAGTGGTTTTTTGTTTGTTGGCATGAATCTCCACACTGTGACCCCTTCTCTGGATTCCGGAATACACCAGAATCCAGTGGTGAGTTTGGATCAGACACATCTCAGAGTAGAAGAAGCTCCTAGATTCAGTCCCCTGTGTCTCCAGTGAAAAGGATCAGGTAGTAGGGAATGACCCTGACGTGGATTGCTGTTGGGTGTTACAAGTCAAAACACTTCAGTATTTACAGGGTTAATGATGTTTGTTAAGTCACATGTTTGTAACCAATCTGTTTAGACAATAGAATGCCCGGGAACTTTGGAGCTAACTTGCTAGTCTGACTGGAAACCAATGTGTCAGGTATTTAGCATATTGGCATCTCCTTCCTCTCTTTGTTCTGACTGAGTAGGAGACGCCATTCTCTTCCCGTTTTACCTTTTAGCTGTAAGGATGTAGCCATATTAGCTCTTTGTTATTTTATATCCTGTGTACCTTTTTTCCCATGTTAGGTTTATAGTAAACTTTAATATTTTAAACACACCGTGGACTCAGTCTCTTAATACTTACTCTGCTGACTTACTCTAAAAGAATCCCAACAATAGCCCATGCTGGCCCAAACTTGTCAGATCTCAGAAGCTAAGCAGGGTTCGCCTTGGTTAGTACTTGGATGGGAGACCACCAAGGGAGTCCAGGGTTGCTACACAAAGGCAGGCAATGGCAAACTACCTCTGAGCATCTCTTGTCTTGCAAACCCTATGGGGTCACCGTAAGGCAGCTGTGATTTGATGGCCCTTTCCACCACCAGTAGGTGAAGGGAAAGACCTCCACCTGAAACCCGGGAGAGCTGCTGCCAGTCTGAGCGCACCCTACTGACCTTGATGGACAGATGGTCTGATGCAATAGCCCTGTTCACAAGTTACCCAGCGGTTCGAAAGCAATTAATTGCAAGTAGATAAATGGGTACCCACCCTTAGTAGGGTGGGGGGCACCCTGCCTAACGTGGTGGTCAGCGGCGGCGAGACATCGGCTCCAGAAAGTCGGAGGTGGCGTGGCGAGACACTGGCGAGACGGCAGCGGCGGCGGCAAGCTACTACAACCGGCGGAGCGATCCCTGGTGGTCAGGAAAGAAACATCCAAGCGACTGCCGTCGAGACGGGTGCGCGATGACATCGAGCGCTGGCGCAGCGGAGCCGGAAGGACGTTGCTGGGGCCGGAAGAAGGCATGAGTCGCGTGCCCCGGGAAAGAAAGAAAAAGAACTGTCGCCGGAACGTCGAAATAGGAGCCCGCCGGAGACGATCGGAGTGCCGAGCCAAGAACAAAAACACACCAACCACCACAGGGGTGCTGGTAGGTAGTCCCACCCCTACAGACTCTGTGGCCCTAGTTAGGAAAAATTGTGTGACTAGCACCACTTGTAAGCCGCTCAGAGACCCCCTGAGAAAGAGGGTTCGAGCGGGATATAAAGTCTAAAGTTAAATAAATAAATAAATAAAAAAACAGTGAACACATGTACAATCCATGTCTAGTGCACACTTGATTGTTCTTTATACTTGCATTGAACAACGCATGTACAGCTAGCTCAGTGTGTGATTCAAACCCCACATTGGCCCACATCAAGGTCCCCGGTTTCATTTGTAAAGGGAATGTGTGTTGATTCTTTCTTACAAACAGATGCAAGCGCATACATGTGGGATGTACCTGCATTCACTGTTCCATGTGAACAGGGCTAGAATCAAACGAACAAAGTTTGAGTCCAGGGGCACCTTTAAGACCAACAAAGTTTTCTTCAGGGAATAAGCTTTCACATGCAAGCACTCTTCTTCAGATGTCTGTATCTAGGCTTGCCAAGGGTCTGACAAAGCCCGCCCCAGAGGTCTGTTCCCCGCCACTGGTGGATCGGGCCCCGGGGGGAACCCCATCCCAAAGTACGCGACATGCACATCACCCGGAAGTGATGCGACCATGCCAGGCACGCTGGGGCGGGGCCACGGTCATCCGAGGGAAAACTCTATGGTTTTCCCTCGGATGGTCATGGCCCCGCCCCCAGCATGCCCAGCGTGGTCGCGTAACTTCCGGGTGATGTGGTTGCAGCGCGCACGTGCGCACTCCAGGAGCAAGCCAGGAGTCCCCCACTGCAGCCGCTCTGAGACACCTTTGGGTAGTGAAGGGCGGGGTATAAATCCAATCTCTTCTTCTTCTTCTTCTTCAACAGGTAGGACTTGGCAACCCTATCTGTATCTGAAGAAGTGTGCTTGTACATGAACGCTTATACCTTGAATAAAGATTTGTTGGTCTTAAAGGTGCCCCTGGACTCAAAATCTGTTCTGCTGCTTCAGACCAACACAGCTGACCACCTGAAAGCTAGAATAAGGCAGCTTCATGTGTTCAAGACTGCCTTTCTTCCAGATCCTATATCTGGTCCAAACTGGATTTAGATTGGAATCCTGGGGAACACTAGCCATACCCAGAGGCCACTAGGTGTGGGCACATGGTGGTGACCTCCTCAGCGTACACCAGATCTTAAAGACCTCAGACATCACTTTGACTACCATGCCATGAATCCGTAAAGGGAGGGAGGGAGGGAGGGAGACCGGGGGAGGGGTGAATCTCAGTGCTGGTGGCAGCAGCAGTGTGAGCAATTTTTTTATTTGATTTTTTATTTGTTGTGATGTCAGTGCACTTTTTGTGACGTCAGTGCCCATGTGTGGAGCTTTTGCCCCCCCCTTCCTCAGGGCCCCTCCCCACTAAAAATTTCCAAGCTATGGGCCTGGTCTTCAGTTGAGTATAGTGCCATAAAGTCCACCGTGCAAAGCAGCCATTTTCTCCAGGTGACCTGAACTCTATCGCTTGGAGATCAGTCGTAATACCAGGAGACCTCCAGCCACCACCTGGAGAATTGGCATACCTCCTATCCACCCATCCATTTTTCCCCTCTGAAGAAGCTATCTGTTCATGTCCCAATGAAAAAGATCTTCTGGTCTCTCAGCTTCTTCATGGAGTTCTTCATTTGGGCATTCCTCAGGGTGTAAATCACCGGGTTGAGCACGGGAGTCACCACCGTGTAGAAAACGGCAACCACTTTATCCGCCGAGAAGCTGCCAGCAGGGCGGGTGTAGATAAAGATACAAGGCCCCAGGAACAAGGCCACGACAAGCAGGTGGGCCGCACAGGTGGAGAGGGCCTTGCGTCGCCCCTCAGCTGTCTGCCCTCTTAGTGACACCAGGATGACTATATAGGAAACCAGTAAGGCCAAGAAACAGACCAGGGATATCATGCCACTGTTGGACACAATAAGAACCCTTGTCAAGTACGTGTCTGTGCAGGCCAACTTGATGACTGGGAGTACATCACAGAAAAAGCTGTCTAATACATTGGGTCCACAGTAAGGGAGTTGGATGGTGAGGACCGTCTGCACCAGAGAGTGGACCATCGCTCCCACCCAAAGGGCGCCCACCAGCCAGGTACACACCTTCAGGCTCATGAGGGACATGTATTGTAGCGGGTGGCAGATGGCGATGTAGCGGTCATAGGCCATGATCGTGAGGAGAAAGATCTCCGCGCAGGCGCAGAGGTGGAGGAAGAAAAGCTGTGCCATGCATCCGTTGAAGGAGATGGTCTTCTGGAACGACAGGAAGTCCAGGAGCATCTTGGGGGCAGTGACCGAGGAGTGGCAGATGTCGATGAAAGAGAGGTTGCCCAGGAAGAAGTACATGGGGGTGTGGAGGCAGCGGTCGGAAGCCACCGTCACCATGATGAGGAGGTTGCCCGCTAAGATGAGCAGGTACATGACACAGAAGACGGCAAATAAGGCCAGCTCGAGCCTGTGGTTACTCGTCAGACCCAAGAACACAAAATGGGTCACCCGGGTGTGATTCAAGCCTTCCATTAAAACGAGGTCAGGCTAAAGTCCATGCGGTAGACCTAAACAGTGACAAAAAAAGAACAGGTTCTGCTTACTAGATCCAGGTGTTCATATATAGTCCATAGAATATATTCCCAGCAAAGAAATGAATGCAGTTATCTAGTTATCCCCACTTCCGTCTCCCATCATCCCAGCTCCCTCTATCTTCCTCCAGTTATCCCCACCTCCATCTCCCTTCTGTCCTGTTTTTCTCCTGCTTGTGTCAAATTTTAGATGATAACCTCAGGGCAGGGACCTCATATACTGTAAAGCACCATGAACATTAATAAGCTGTATCAATAAATCAGTGATAAATAAATATATAACAACAACAATAGCAAGAACAATGAGATACGCCCACATATATATTCTACATTTCCTTTATATCCCACATTCTTCATATTCTACGGAGGTTGGCCAAAGTTCTAGGCCAAGCTCATTTCAAAACTGAATTATTCAAGAGGGCTTTTCTACACAGGTATTAAGGTTGTTCCCTCACCTGGATAGCCCAGGCTAGCCTGATTTCATTGGATCTTGGAAGCGAAGCAAGATTGGCCATGATTAGTATTCAGATGGGAGACCATCGAGGAACAAGGTGTGGGACTCTCTGAAGCACAAACTGGTACCAAAGATCTCACGCTTCTCGACCTTCTTCCACCAACCCTGGTTCCCCCCTGGAGCAGATCTGTTGATAACCCCAACCTGGAGACAGGCTAATGTCATCCGTCTGATAGACCTAACGGTGGGCACCGATCTTGCACCAAAAATCCCCTTAGAATGATGATTACATTATAAAATTCCGTGGTTCTACTATCCTCAACTACACCATATGACCACCCAAATACATCTATCTGAATCAATGAACTCTCCTCTAACAGACTTTGAAGCAATGCTGAAATGTGACACCACAAATACTGGTGGTCTTATCAAAAAAATGTACAACTTATCACAGCGACAATCTAACTCAAACCTCCTACCATATCAAACGGCGTGGCCACAAGACTGCGGCATTGAATTCACTGCTGAACAATGATCCTCTATTTGGCACAACCTATTTGTTCCTTCACCCTCACCAAAGTTACAAACCTACAAAATTTTATCAAGATGGTTTCTCACAACAAAAAAGTTGGCTGTGATATCTCTCACAAACTCCAGGCTTTGTTGGAAGAAATGCGATAATTATGGTTCATATGCACATTGTTGGTAGCGATGCCCCTGAATACAGGAATTCTGGAACAATGTTCTTATACAAATCAACTATATAACAGGATGCACAATACCGCTGTCACCAGAGCTGATTTTCTTATGCCATGGGTGCGATCCTTCAATCCCGAGAATCAGATGGGACCTCATCCACAGCTTGCTAGCAGCTGCGCAAACAACCATAGCGGCACACTGGAAATATCCATCAAGCCCTACGATATCCAACTGGTACACAAAAATATGGGACTATTTAATAATGGAGAAAATAGCAGATCACATTCACTAAACAGACATCTTCCCCAAAACGTCTTTTGCAGAAAAATGGTCCCCCTTTCTTGAACACATACTTTCGCAAGACCTCTCACCTCCGACTTCTGTCTATCAGCAATTGCTTTCTTCTTAAAATGCCAACTATTCTTTCCCTCTTCTTTCCTTTTCAATAAGACTTTATACTTAGCATCTATTTACTTTAATAAATAGTACTACAGAGTGAAAGACAACCCTCAACTCGCTCATAAAAGATGTTGCTATAACAACTATATATGTATTGTGTTGCTTTTTATATAGCAAATGATTAATATACATATATATACATATATATTCAGCACTGATGTATAGCTACTGCAAAACTCGTATACCATTGTAAAACATTAATATGTCAATAAAATATTTTAAAAGCAAAAAAAGAAAAAGGCGATAAACAAGACAATAAAAAGAAATAGAAAATGGGGGGGGGAGTAACACCAGGGTTACTATGCCAAGGCAGGCAATGACAAACCATCTCTGAACACATTTTGCCTTGAAAACTGTACAGGGCTGCCATAAGTCAGCTAGAACTTGATGGCACTTTGCACAACAGGGTTGCACTGTGCAAAATGGTTCACAAAGTTACTTGAACAGATGAATAGGGAGTGTGGTCTATGCTACTGTGCATAGCTTGCTGTAAGCGGGACCCCACTATGTAAATTTGGCACCGTTTAATGTGTCACATTGATACTTCTGCTTTGTTTAAGTTCTGTTCTTTATGATTTCTGGTCCATTCCAGATTTCTACCATCCCAGTCCTATTGCATCCTTTACTGAATGTCCCATCCCATTGATTCTATTGACTCTTTCTCTTGAGCCCCAGTGAGAAAAGACCCGTTACAATAAAATCACATTAAAATCATAAAAAAACAATAAACAATAAAATTAGTAGCAGCAATATAAATCAAGTCAAGTCAAGTCAGCCTTTATTGGCATAAATTATCAGGACCATTTATACATTTTAAAACCAGTTAAAACTCATATATACAATTCTAGAAGAACCTTTGGCGCAGCTTTAAAGCCAAGCAGAGAAAACTTAGCCACTTTCTCTGTGATGTCCGGACTCAGATCTCTTAAAAGTCTATTCACCTTAAGTGCATCAGAGCAAGCACCCATGCTGGTTAAAAGAGAGTGTAAGTATGTGATCCTTAGGTCCATATACAAATTGCAGTGCAGGAGAACATGAGTGACAGATTCCACACATTTTGCTCTACAAGGGCAGTATCTGGCCAGATGAGAAACCTTGTTAAATCTGCCAAATAAAATGGCAGACGGCATAGCATTACATCTGGCCAGGGTGAACGCTCTACGTTGTGCAATATAAATCTGTTAGGGCCACAAGGTGGAATCAGATAGCCCCTTTCAGCAGATTGGGAACTAAAGCAGGGAGCCCAACTGAGATCCCTTTGTCAGATATGACAAAGGGGGCTTTAACTCTCAAAAGCATTTATATGTTCAGTGTGGTTAAGTCATGACCTATGGCGGTCCTATGAATTAATGTTCTCCAAAAGGTCCTATTTTTAGCAGCCTTGCTCTTCAGGTCTTGCAGACGGAGGTTCATGGCTTCCTTGATTGAGTCAATCCATCTCGTGTTGGGTCTTCCTCTTTTCCAGCTGCCTTCAGCTTTTCCTAGCTTTATTGTCTAGGTCATACCCTAAAAGCCTATACCCTAAAAAATTGATGGCTTTTAAGGTGCTACTGAACTCAGATCTAGCTCTACAGTCTTCCAGGTTTTCTTTGTCTACCTATCAGTCTGTAATCAATATTAACTGTGCGTCACAAGGATATCTATCCATCTATCCTCCCTATCTATCTATCCTACCTTCCTCAAGGAGCTCAGAGCAGTGTACACAATTCTCCGCTCCCCACTGAGACTCTGCAACACCTCAGGGAGGTTTGTCAGGTTAAGTCTGTGCTCGTGGCCCAAGGACAACTATGGCAAGACTCCGTGGCAAGAGGAGAGCTAAACCCAGGTTTCCTAGGTCTTAGCTGAACAATCTCATGTCCTCCGTCCTTCCCTAGTCATTGCTAACCATCCATCAACCATCAGTGGCAGAGCATGGACTTTCCATCAAGGAAATCCCAGGACCAGCCATGGCATCATCAGCTAAGTTCTCAGTCCCCACATTCCCTGACTGGAAAAGTCCGCTCCTGAAGTCCATGAAGAACACCTGCCAGACAAGTAAAGTAGCACTGGGTTAGACAGACCAACCATCTGGCCCCAAGTCACTCATTCAAGAAGATGTTCCTCAAGTCTTCTTCCCTACTGTTCTCGGACATAAATCTGTTGGGGAGAGTTTGGTGTAGTGGTTAAGGGCTTGGACTCTAATCTGGGAGAACCGAGTTTGATTCCCCACTCCTCCACTTGTACCTGGCTGGATGGCCTTGGGCAAGCCGTAGTTCTGATAAGATCTGTCCTTGAAAAAGGGCAGTTTCTGTCAGAGCACTCTCAGCCCCACCTACCTCACAGTGTTCCCTCTAAGCTGAGTTAGTGTGAGCTAACTCACAGTTTTTTAGCCTCTGGCTCACACATTTTTGTCTTGGCTCAGGAAGGATGGGGCTCCAGAGCAAACTAGTTTATCCAGCAGCCAAGTCTCTTGCTCACAACTTTAATGCCAGTAGCTCACAAAGTAGAATTTTTGCTCACAAGACCCCACAGCTTAGAGGGAACATTGCTCACAGGGTGTCAGTTGTGGGGAGGGGAAGGGAAAGGAGTTTGTAAGACGCTCTGAGACACCTTTGGGTAGTGAAGGGCGGGGTATAAATCCAATCTCTTCGTCTTCTTTTTTGTCTTGGCTCAGGAAGGATGGCTCCAGAGCAAACTAGTTTATCCAGCAGCCAAATCTCTTGCTCACAACTTTAATGCCAGTAGCTCACAAAGTAGAATTTTTGCTCACAAGACCCCACAGCTTAGAGGGAACATTGCTCATAGGGTGTCTGTTGTGGGGAGGGGAAGGGAAAGGAGTTTGTAAGACGCTCTGAGACACCTTTGGGTAGTGAAGGGTGGGGTATAAATCCAATCTCCTCTTCTTCTTCTTCTTCATCTAACACACCATCATGCATGCAACATTTTGCAGTCTCTGCAAATGACTCATTCATTATGAGCAGGGTGTTGTAGGGAACCACCAAGGGCACCATGCTTTGAACTTGGGTTCGCAAGAATGGGAAGTGGAGAGCAATGAGCAGACTAAATTGAAAGTTTGGAAAATCTCAAACATATCTCATTTTTCCCTTAGAAAGGTAGTTCAATTACCTGGCATGGTCAAGGAAGCAGCAGATGATGACAATACTTTCAGGACATCTTCATAGCTCTTCTTGACACATTCTTCTTGAGGTGTTCACTCAGTAAATATCATTCTGGGTCATCACTTGATGATATTCTTCCCTCTCTTAAATAGCCTTAGGTACTTTTGATGCAGTTGCTTGGCGTGACGTCTTGTAAGACACTGAAAGAAGGAAGCTCTTTGAAGATCTAAG